TGCATCTGAACTTGAAATGTATCATCCCGCTCTGGATGCACAGTGGATATTGGAATCTCACAGTTCTTTTGGTTTACGTGAGACGTTTAATCTGAATGTTAAAAATCGCACAATTGCAGTGTTACTTATAAGAGGGGCCTTTTACACTATGAAATAAAGGTGCTAAGGCCAAATGTTTTAAGAATGGTCTTTGGTGCCTAGTGTATTAATGTCCTGTGTCCTCATTAGAAAAATCAAATTGTTGGGGCACCTGGGTGGCTCGGTCAGTTAAGCATCTGACTTTGCCTCAGATCATGATCTCGTGGTTCCTGGGTTCAAGCCCCACATTGGGCCCTCTGCTGTCAGAGCAGAGACTGCTTCGGAGCCTCTGTCCTCCTCTCTTCCCCCCCTTCAAAAATAAATAAACATGGGGGTGCCTGGGTGGCTCAGTCGGTTACGCATCAGACTTTGGCTCAGGTCATGATCTCATGGTTCGTGGGTTTGAGCCCCACATTGGGCTCTGTGCTGACAGCCAGCTCAGAGCCTGGAGCCTGCTTCAGATTCTGTATCTCTCTCTGTCTCTGACCCTCCCCTGTTCACGCTGTCTCTCTCTCTCTCTCAGAAATAAATAAAACATTTAAATAAACAAACAAACAAACATTAAAAAAAAAAAAAGGAAAAAGCAGATTGATAATTGCCTGTGTCTCTCACATCATCTTGTTTGGCTCATTCAGGGGTTTCCAGACCGGCTATGTATCAGAAAACATGGAGGGATTTTTAAAATGCTCCTTCCCAGGTCACCTGGGTGGTTGGTTAAGCATCTGGCTCTTTGACTTTGGCTTAGGTTATGATCTCATGGTTCATGACTTCGAGCCCTGCCTCAGGCTCTGCACTGACAGTGCAGAACCTGCTTGGGATTCTCTTTCCCTCTGCCCCTGCCTCACTTGCACACATTGCACACATACACACTTTCTCTCTCTCTCTCTGAAAATAAATAAAATAAAACTTTTTAAAAAAAATGCCTATTCCCTAACCTTCTGCTCTTGGATGTCTGGCTGAGTAGAGACGTGGAGAATAGTATATTTAAAAGCTTACTCAGAGGGGCGCCAGGGTGGCTCAGTCAATTAAGCATCTGACTTCGACTCAGGTCATGATCTCAGCGCTCATGAGTTCGAACCTCACGTCAGGCTCTGTGCTGACAGCTCGGAGCCTGGAGCCTGCCTCAAATTCTGTGTCTCCCTCTCTCTCTGTCCCTCTCCCGATTCTCTCTCTCTCAAAGATAAATAAACATTAACAAAAAAATAAAATAGAAGCTTACTCGGGTTTTTCTAATGTGCAGTCAGGGCTGAGAAACACAAAGCCAACTGGACTTTACTTTGTGAAGACAGTGATAAAACTCCCTCTTTTCTCTACTTAAGCCCCCTTAAACACTTCCTGAGTGAGTGAATAAACAACTCACCATGGAAGCAAATCAAAGTCCGATTTTATATACTGATTTCTGCTTTAATTTGCTGTGAATAATTTACCTTTGGTCAAATATAAACTTTAGGAATATCAGCCTTAAATATAAAAAACAGAAAAGGCAGAATCTGGCAGTGAGTTTGTGACCCAGTTGGATTTTGCCAGTACGTGAAGACAGGTCAACTTGAGTGGTGCTAACAGAAGTCACATTCTGGTTTTGGTTGTATCGATGCCCGTTCATACATCTGGTTTCCCTGGAGTGTTCCAGTTGCTTGTCATCTTATTTTTTCAACAAAGTTAAATCTGTTAAATTTACTTAAAATTTATTAAAGGTGCTCATTAAAATTTAATGAATTTATTAAACATTTAAATTTTATTTCATTTAAAATTTATTCAAGTTCACTGAAATACATTTATTTTCTGAAAACAAATTCGTGAATCCCCCCAAAAAACGTTATGCTTTCTGCCAATTTGGTGTTTGCTGTACCTATAGTAAGTAGAATAGGCGAGTTCACCAGTTTAAATCTGGAGGACGGAAATAACACCAGTTTTCATACTTGACATGTCAAAAGCAAGAATCTGCAAACCCTGGAATGCCGTCTAGTTTATCCATATATTCATCTTCGCTGTAGAACTAATCGGTTCTAACTAATCGGTTGCCTAGAGCTAATTTTCCCTTGGAAACTTCCTGGACAGTAAATAGAAGGTCGGAATATTAATTTCTTACTGGCTTCAAGTTGGCCAACTTCTGGCTGGCAAGGGAGTGACATCACCTCTGTGGTCCACTGTGATTTATGGTCGGGCCCCAACTGACGCTGGACCTTTCATCCTTCCTTTGGCCTAGCTTTGACCCCACTAAGCTTTTTCTCTGAGACCCAAGTAGTGGTCACAGCGTTAGTGGTAATCCAGAGAAGCTGCGGAAGCTTCTGATGGTGGCTGTGTGCATAATTCTTCTAACTGCCCCCTTGTACGGAATTGCAAAACGTCTTCAGCACCTCAGAGGGAAAGCACTATGCACACAGAAGGTACTTTTATTTTGTTATCTGTGCTTATTAGTAGTAATACAAAATTGAAAAAAATAATTTTAAAAATTGAGAGTATTAAAAGAATACTTTGGGGCCGCCTGGGTGGCTCAGTCACTTAAGTGTCTGACTTCGGCTGAGGTTATGATCTCATGGCTTATGAGTTTGAGCCCCACATCGGGCTCTGTGCGGACAGCTCAGAGCCTGCTTCGGATTCTGTGTCTTCCCCTCCCCTGCTCACACTCTGTCTCTCTCTCTCAAAAATAAATAAACATAAAAAAATTTTTTGAAAGAATACTTTGGTTATTTCTTTGGATTTAAGACCTGTGTTTCAGGCGAGTGCCTTCCTATGTAATCAAATATTGTATCAATGTTTTCTAGCAAATTTAAATGTTCACTTTTGCACTTACTGTATTTAATTGGGTTGGAAAGGTTTCTTTTCTTTTTAGCTTTCTTCTTGGAACTAGAATTGCTGCAAAATCCAACGATATGGTATCTAGAAATAGAACTCTTTTTGGATAAAATTCTTTTGCTGTGTAAATAGGGCAATCTTTGATCCATACATAGAAGAAAGAACACATTTTCTTATCCAAAAGACAAGAGGTGTTCTGTATTGCTGGTTGTATTAAAGGGGAAAAAGTGATTCATTCTGAAACTAAGGAAGGAATCAAAGTGGTCCTAGTATTTTGAACTTTACATGATAATCCTTCGTTCTGTGAATCATGCGATCCTCTCTCCAGCTCCTGCACCATCAGTGTGTATGGTGGACACAGTTACCATTAAAGACTGAGGAAAGTTTGTGGATAGTCTCTGAAAGTTGAAGTGGCAGAAGCATTTTTAGATTGATATATGAAGTAAGATTCTCAATTTAATGACTTACGGATTTAACCATTTGAGAGAATAAAGAACATACTTCTAAATCCAAATATACATTTTTCAAGTTTATTTTTTACTTTTTTTTTAATTTTGAGAGAAAGATGGAGAGCAAGTAAGGGAAGGGCAGAGAGAGGGAGACAGAATCCCAAGTGGGCTCCACACTGTCTGCCCAGAGCCCATTGAGGGATCAAACTCACACACCGTGTCCTGAACCGAAGTCAAGAGTCGGACGCTTAATTGACTGAGCCACCCAGGTGCCCCTAAATTTACATTTCTAAAATGCCCTTGACATTTTAAAGCTTTATGCCAAAAATGGAGACCTAAGCGAACTGATACAGGTATTTATTTCATACAGTTTTAGATTTAAACCTCTTTTGTAAAGAATTTAAATATATGTTTACCCAGGAAATCATGGCCATTTGGATGAAGAAATTATAGTAAGTATAATTTTATAGGACTCTTTCAGGAGTTTCAGCTTTTAAGAAAATCCTTCTCTGATAATGCTTAGAAGGCAGTGTTACTGCTGTCAGTGCACATAGAATGAACTAAGGTGGTGGCCGCTGTTTGTACTGAGTGTCAAGTCGTGGTAGTGCTTCATGAAGCACGTCTGTGTATGGCTGAGAGAGTTACGCCAGGCCTACAATTTAGCCTTCAAGGCTTCAGAGCCTCGTGAAGAGAACATGAGTTGGGAAGACAAGCACTAAACAGGTTGAAGTATTGTTTCTCGACTCAATAAGCCCAGCCCATGTAAGGCCGGGCTGTCACTGTATTACAGGGTTTGCCTGATAGACCCACATCCAGGGTCACCTTGGAGTGTGTGACTGAGAAAGGATTGCATGTTGTCTCCTCCTTTCTCTTCTGTTTTCTGACACCTGGGTGTTCTCCTTTCCTTTTTCCCATAACCCATGTTTCAAGTCTTTCTTATGTCAGTCAGTGTAGAGAAGTCTCCATCTCCACAGTAAATATCACATGTTGTTGGTGTATCTGAACTGCACGATACGCTTTCCCTGGCTGTTTTGTCAGGTTTGATTTCTCCCTTGCTCTCTTGGCCTTTGAATTCAGTGCTCTTCTTAGAATCAGATTTTCTAATTGCTTAAGCTTCGAAGTTTGCTAAACAGCTAGACCTATTTAACATGACAAGGGAGACAACTAGTGCATCTGGCAGACTTCTGACCTGAGAACAAAATTACAATAATTTCCAAAGCTTCCTTAACAAATGCCTTGAGTAAATTGGAGCACGACAGTACATGAGGTAAATGTCTGGTTTCCTTTGTCTGGTTCTCTGCCAAGGGACTCTTTGGTTGGCATTTCTTTTGTTCTTTGTTGACCATTGACCAACATTGCCATTGCTTCCTTCGCTCTGTAACATGGTGACAGGAAGGAGGGAAGGAAGGAAGGACAGGGGTCATTGCCTACACCCCGTAAAGTGCGCCATGTTTTGAGAATGCAGAAACAGGACCCCCGCCTTGTCTTTACTTCACTTATACCCCTTTATCTTAGTCACTAACAAGGTATGTTTCAACATTCATAGGATATCTCATTTGTGTGTGTGTGTGTGTGTGTGTGTGTGTGTGTGTTTTACCCTTGGGAAATATTCACTAACGCCTGCCTCGGGTATGAAGGTAATTTCTATTCTTCTATTTTCTGATTTCTGAACTTCAGGAGAAGGTAAAGCTTGATGCTGAAAGGGAAAAACTAGAGAGGCTTCAGGAGCTTTACTCCGAGCAGAAGACCCAGCTGGACAATTGTCCTGAGTCCATGAGGGAACAATTACAACAACAACTGAAGAGGGTCAGTAGCAAACAGGAATGTGCCAGTTTTTTGTTTTTTGGTGTTTTTTTCAATGAAGTTCCACTTACCTATGACTTCTACTTCACATAGCATAAATTTGCATACGTTCTGGTCATTAGATACTTTTTAAGTAGCAATATGCATGCTGACAATATATATTATTTCATGCTGATCAGTTAAACAATTCCTTGTCAGAATCCTTCACTAATTTATAATGCAGAACCAGTCCTGGAGTCATTCTCCAGAACAAAAGAGAGCTATTCCTGACATATAACTGACACCAAGATTGTAGCATTTCAATCGACTGACCTCTTTCCCTGCACTCTCTGCTGTATCGTGAGTACTGCTTGCCCTTGGATGTTTTTTTTTTTTTCTCAGCTTGATGTTATGCTTTGGTCCCCAAATTATTCTATTCTCTGACTTGCTTCCTATCATCACTCATTGGTTTTTTTTTCTTTCTGCTTCTTAATGACATTGAATTCATTAGCACAGCCATAGCAAACACCAAGACACAAGCTGCAGGTCAATGCCCTCAAAGTCTTCTCAGAAGAGCTTCGTAATTTTTTAAAACTTAGGGCAGCATGAGCTTTGTAGTTGCACTTGATCCTCCGATCGTTAAAGCTGTCAGTACTCACCGTGAACACACTGGTTATCCGCTGAAATGAAGCTCCTGAGGTAGATAGTTTCACAAACACTAGCAAGACCACTTAATATTTCAGAGTCTCTTAACAACTGGGTTATTTGCTGTAAACAGCAACCCAAATAAACTGTGATCCTGGAGGGCCAGTCATGAATGGCGTGAGGCCTCGAAAGGAGTCACATAATAGTATTTTGTGCTAAGTGACTAACAATTTATGATTCCACATAAGTAGAAAAGAAGGTGAGTTTCATTCATGTTTCTGTCAGGACCTTCCTGGGAGTAGGCAAGTTGAAACGTCTGCTAAGGGAGCCACCCTTGAAAATGTTTAAGATTGCTTTTACTACAAAAATATTTGATACCTTAGAGTATCACTAGGTTATGAAAAATTATATTTGAAACTTCAATGTATTACAGAGGTCGAAAGCGTCTTAAATAGTACCAAAGGCAGACAGGTTTGCCTGAAGCATAATGATTTTCATTTTTTAACAAAGAGTAACTCCCTTACTATATTGGATCAAAAATGTCCCAACAATGTTTCTTCCTCTTTACTCATGTTATTGTATACAGGTGAATTTGCTGGAAGAAAATAAGACTTCCTGTCCCTCAGTGTCATTAATTTTCTAGAAATCTTGTGATGAAAACAAGTGGGGAAAAGAATTGTATTTGCAAAATCATTTTCATTTGCAATTTGTTTGTGTTTATGCCCGTTCACCAAAGAGACTGAGAAAAGGACTTTTGTATTTGTTTACTGTTTTTCAACTCTACTTATTACTAAAAATTTTACACAGTGGTCCTAAGACTTTTTCTAGAGTCAGCAGCAACTTCTATATTTTGTTCTTCTCTACCTCTGGTTATCCAGCTATTGCTTGCATTCCTTACCAACATGGCTACAGATAAAAGTTGGTAGATTTTCTTAAGAACCTGAACTCAGACTGATATAAATAATGACTGCTTAATCTAGCCTCTCCAGGATAACTCATAGATTTATGTATGTTCTAAGGGTGTTGACTGCAAAGGAGGACAGGATGTTCCACTATTTCAAGGCAGAGGCCCCTTCTTCTTCCCCTCCAAGCCGAATATAAAATTCTTATTGCCGATCCCTTTCTTTGGGAGAAATAACTGGCTTGTAGTAGCTTCTGCTTACCTGTATTAAGAGGTCTACTAATTCTATTTTACAGGGATGACAGCCAGAGTAACTTCACTAGTCCCATGACCTAATCAGTAAAAAGTTCACTTATTTCATGAGAAGTCCATTCATACTAAGAAATTCCTGTGTTACCAGAGCTCATTTCCCTTCAGACTTCAAACACTTCAGAATACCACCTCATTACAAAGCTTTCCTGAAGGCATTTAAACTAGATCCAATAAAGGTGATTTTATTACAACGAATTTAGTTAGGTGGCAAGTCCTACAAAATTTTTAAAAAAATAAACGAAAAGGAAGAACATCATTTTCTTAAACTGTATGTTGTCCCAAATACTTAAGCTGAAATTCTGGAATAATTTTTTGCATACAAAACTATGGATTTATGACCAGGCTTATTACTTCTCTCTCTCTCTTTTTAATGATTATTCACTTTTGAGAGCCCAAAAGAGAAAGAGACAGAACACGAGTTGGGAAGGGGCAGAGAGAGGAGACACAGAATCAGAAGCAAGCAACAGGCTCTGAGTTGTCAGCACAGAGCCCGATGCAAGGCTTGAACCCACAAACCGTGAGATCATGACCTGAGCCAAAGTTGGCTGCTTAACCGACTCAGCCACCCAGCCACACCGGGCTTCTTACTTCTAATTCCCTGCCTTAGAATCAGAATGCAGTTTCCATCTGAGTAGTTGTATGTCGTAGACATAGACTCACCAGTAGAATTGTTCCTGGGATGCAAGCATTGTGGAAAAGAAAGCAGAAGTTAAAGGAGCCTTGTTTGCCCAGATTAAGTTCTACTATTAAATGGAGGAGACACCTGGCTAGGACAGTTTTCATATGCTTTTGTTGATTTACTCAACTGAATGATTGATTTCAATCTCTTGATTTAAATATGTGTATATATTCAGTGATATCTACAATTAGGAGACCATTTTTCTCACTGGCTCTACAATCTGTTTCCCCTTTAACCTTAGACAAGTTATTCAACCTCCGTGGGCCTCCATGTCCTCATATTATGAAATGAGGAGATGGCACTAATGATTTCCATTGTCTTTTCCCAAATTCCAAAGATGTTCATTTGTTAAAGTGTTTGACTATTGGGCATAAGATGGAGAAATGTTAACAAATCCTGATCCCCACCTAAAGTTGTTTTCAAAGTTGGCCTTGAGCTGTCATGAGATTATTATTGTACCACATACCACATCTATCCTCTTCTTCTGTCCCTTTGCTAAGCAAAGAAAACATGAAGGTCTGCACATAAACTTCTGCCGTATAAATTCTCAAAACAATTATAGCAAGAAGAAGGAACAGCATTGAATTTTCTTGAGTGCAGCTGTTTTATTTCCTTTCACGTCTGGCCTTTGAGCTCACCAGCCAGTAGAGATTTGTAATATCCCTTTTAGCGAGTGAAATTTAGTTAAAATTTTCATTCAAGTAGTCATGTCCTTGACTTTGAGCTTCCTGTATATATTACTCTCTGCTCGATTAAACTACTCCTGCCCCCAAATTCCATCCCCTGAATTCTTATTCTTATCAAAAATCTTTGCAAGCTTTTTTACCCTACCAAGTTGTTTCTCTCTTACAGTGTAAGTTTATATACACACATTCTAATTGTTTAGATAACTAGATCAGATGATTATACCAGCAGATTCTGAGTGCTAAGCTTAGCTTTAATTTTCAACCTTCCTACCCAGTGTGCTGTTATTGTCATACAATGGTTTAAATATTTACTACAAATTAGTGGCTCTGTGACCTTCATGGGGTTAAGATAACACAAGCTGCATATTAACCAGATGTGGAGTAAGTGACTGACTGGCATAGTGTGTATATTGTGAGACATATGCCCACTTTGAGTAAAGATTATTTATAACTTAAAAAATGGTTTATGAAATTATTTATCTCAGTAATCTTTAGCCACAAACTAGGCTTAATTGAAAGACCTTAAAAACTTGAGTATGTATGACCACATGGGTAAATATATCCACTGATGTATCGTTTCAAGACTACAGGTATTTGGTTTCAAGACTGAATACTTGAGTTGTCTCTCGATTACTTCTGTAGTGACTGGATTTTGATCCAAATTCATTAATTCCTTGAGAAATTATAAGCATGACGTGTCTGATACACTTGAAATGACAACCAATAACTTGAAACCAAGACCACTTTCTGTTTGGCCAATTAAAATAGAAAAAAGTGCTAAGAAACACTGGATATATTTTTCAAATTGTTTTTCCTTCTCTTAAGTTTTAAGAATCCACTGAGTTGACATAATAATCTTGTTGCTATAGCGCTGCTTTGTAATTACATGGTAGCTAATAGTCCTTCTATGAATCATCCCCAGAATAAAATTCATTCCAGAAGGCAGAAACATATTATTTCATTTGATTAAAAGGCTTAATTTATCACTTACATAAAAAAAAAAAGGGGTGGTATGTTTAAAAACTGATATAAATCTCATCACATTTATTTATCCAACTTTTTGTGATGTTTTGATTAAAAAATAAATGCCCTGGCTATTTTACCCATGTAGAATTGTAAACCATATAGCCTAGCTGCTGTTTCTTTTTTGGCCATAGATTACTTACAAATTATATACATATATATATATATATATTAAATCTTCTATACATACCACATTTATGGTTCTGTCAAAGGTTCCAAAATTAATTTTTTTATGTAAATTGAAGAATAATTTATACAACATGCGCCAGGCTCTGCACAGACACCGATACATACATTTCTGTCTTCAGACATTTCATAGGTTAAGAAATACCCATCCTAGACCATCTGATTTTTATGATTTCTGATCTTTCTTAAGTGTCCTCAACATTATTCCCAAAGTAGTAGTGCCGTTTGAGTGACTCTTTGTGCCTAATGAACACTATGATTCCATTCTTTCCAATAAAAATCTTTGTAAGCAATTTTAAGGGATTCACAGAAGCCCAGTGTAAGAATACCAACCTCAAATATTTTCAATGACTTCTCCTTTAGATAAAATTATTTGCGCATACATGCCTATATATATATATATATATATATGATAGGCCATATATTATAAATATATACATATATATGATAGGCCATATTATATTATAAATATATATGCTGCATACATGCTCAAAATATATATTTATTCAGAATAATGTACATGTACTCTACCTGAATATACATTAGAGAACATTTGTTGAGAAATTGTAAAAGACAAGAAAAACTAAAAATATATACGGAGAAGGTCTAATATTTTCTTCTTATACCCCAGTGGATTGTGTCTTGTGCCACTTGGGGCACACATACCCCTCTTAGAGACCTCCAACCTGTATCTGTGCCAGATTTTGAATCTTTTTTTTATAGTCAATAACTCTGGAGTCTTGAATTTGATCTCCATACCAAAGTCTCATTTTATTTGAAAGTTTGTGGAAAATACAATAGGAGTTTTCTCAAGAGATCGTGTCACACCTTGGTCAGCAGGTAATGTTCAGTAATTTACTGAATTTTTTTATACTTTAGGATCCATTTTAAAATCACTTAATTGATTTAAAGCAAGAATTCCAACATCCAGGGCACCTGAGTGGCTCAGTCAATTAAGCATTTTGATTTCAGCTCAGGTCATGATCTCACAGTTCATGAGATCTAGTCAACGTCGGGCTCTGTGCTGACAGCGCAGAACCTACTTGAGATTCTCTCTGTCTCTCTCTCTGTCCCTCACCTGCTCATGTTTTCTCTCTCTCTCTCTCTCTCTCTCTCTCTCAAAATAAATAAATAAACTTTAAAAAAAGGAATTCCAACATCCACAGAACAGTCTAAAACTGAGTCAAATAAATGCCCCTCTCCCACCCCACCCCCCAGTTCCTTTCAATCCCGTTCTAACAGCCACAGCTCTGGGATTTAACTCCAAAAGAGAGGATTATCATGTTCCAACCCTGGTCAGTTTAGTAATTGAGAAGGTATTTTGGACTGTTTGCTTTTACTAATTTTTTTTTCTTCATGTGAAGAAGGCTGCAGCCTTTCTGGTATGTCTTGTTTTCGTTTCGTTTCCTCCAAAGGATGCCGACTTGTTGGACGTGGAGAGCAAGCACTTTGAAGATCTGGAATTCCAGCAGCTTGAGCATGAGAGCCGCCTGGATGAGGAAAAGGAGAACCTGACCCAACAACTCCTGCGTGAAGTGGCTGAATATCAACGGAACATTGTCACCAGAAAGGTACTTTAGACAGGCATCATTTAATGTAAAAAATCCAAATCTACCCCCCGCACCCCCCGTCTACAATCCTTATATCTGAACATCTCTGCGTGTTCCACCACGTATGACACTGGACAGATTGTGGAGCCTGCCATCTACATACCACGTGTCCCTCCAAGCTAGATAAACAGACCTGTGTTCTAGTTATCATTACTTGATGCTAAAGGTGCATTTATGAATAGTATCTGAGTTTTTCACATAAGTGGAATCCAAGGGAGAGAACATCAGAAATTTAGATATTTGTTTTAAGTTACTTGCTTTTGCAATCCTAGTAACTAGACTAATTCCGTGAACAAAGTCTGTTTTGGAATTTTCTGTTTCCATTGCTCATAGTTCTAAAGCTACTGGTAGCTTACAACCATTAGAAATAGCCCCATGGAATGCCATGCACTTTGTTGACTCCACCCAATGCCTGCACCCAGATGTCCAGCCCAGAATTCACCTCTTGTTCCAAAACTTAGACTCCCATTCCAGTGCTCTGTACTAAACCAATAAAATTGAGGGAGAAGAAGATGAAGAAGGTGTCTTCATAAGCTCTCAGTTTAAATAAGAAATTCCATTGTTATTTTTTCCATGAGGCATCTCCCAAGCTGATGTCAAAAATTCATTTATAGTCTAAAACAAGATTTCCTGTTGACTTCTGGATTCTTCAAATAGATTTTTAAATCACCTGGACTGTATTGATCTGAAGTAAAGAAAAGCCTTGAGCTTGGCACCTCAAAGAAACTACCTCCCAGTCTCTGGGTAATAACAATCACTGCCTACCACCAACGAAAATGTGGCCATGACTGATCCAGGTGTAAACACTTCCTTCCTTTTTCCAGAACGTGCTGGCACACTTTGGAATTGTCTAACATGCGTCTACATCTGATCATGTTTTCCCCTGCAGGAAAAGATTTCTGCCTTGAAAAAGCAAGCCAACCACATTGTTCAGCAGGCTCAGAGAGAGCAAGATCATTTTGTAAAAGAAAAGAATAATTTAATAATGATGTTGCAGAGAGTAAGTATTTCCTTTTCCGCATTGGTTGCGATAAAACTCAGGTGCCGACTCGGGGAAAGTTTCTTCCTTCAAAGCAAGTACCTTTTCATTGAGAACAGTGAGTTATCACTTAGAGAAGCTTCTTAATGTACATTTTATTTCATCCTCCCCATTAATAAGCTGATGATCTGCGAATAATTAACTATAATTCAAAAAGGACATTATCCTCATGCTTTTTCCACAGTGTGAAAATTCAAATGATGGAAAATATGTACATTTTCTGATCTTCTTCTTTTAAAAAAAAATCATATTTTTCATCGAAGAGGCAGAACATACTCTGCTTTTTTTGCTGTTATCAAATATTTGGCTCAGCTGCTGCTGTATTTTTAACTCCAATTATTTGCATGTGGGTCTTCTGGGCAATTGCCACATTGGGCTTAATTAACTAGGGAGACACCCTGCCTGGGTGACAAGATCATCCTCACCAAAGAGACTATGTTCCCATCTGCCCAGCACCTAACATGGCTGAATATAAAGGGATTCTTTTGCCCAACCTGCAGCCTGATTTTCTGACATAGTCTGTGGCCTAATATCAGGTCTAAGACACCAAGAATTAACGTTAATGGGGCTAGTCTCAGAACGGAGCCATGTATCCAGGCCACTACCTAGGATGTGGCACTTGGGATCCTGAAAACATGAGACGGACCCAGAATGGGGTGCAGGAGAAAGAATGGTGGATTAAAGAATGAGGCTATACCATGGTCCCACCTAGAAGAAACATAGCTGCAGTATTCTCATCTTAGCTACTTAGCTATGTTTAGGTTGAGAAGAGAGACAAAATTGTTCCATCACATAGAATTAGAAGTTCGCTCAAGGTGCCTGTGTAGCCCAGACAGACCCGTGATAGCTCCCCCCCTCCTGCTTCTTCAGCACCTACAAATCTCTGAACGGATGTATATTTTCCATCTCTGTCTCCTGCTCCGTGAGTGAACTCTGCTTGCACTAACCTCCCGACCACCTTTTACATGTAATAGTCAAAGACACAGCTTAAATTAGTGTCATATGTACTATTTAAGTCGTTTCTGAACTTTTAACAAAAATAAGGGAAAAGTCCTTAAGAGAGAGATTTTTTTTAAATGGGTAATCGCAATCATAGAAATGCAACTCCCTCATTAAAATATATCAAATATAATTGTATTATAAAAATTGTGGCCTAAAGGTTATGGTTTATATCTTCCTAAATTGACCTATAGGTATATCTCAATCTTTACAAAACATTTTTATTAATTACAACTTTTTTTTAATGTTTTATTTATTTCTAGGAGAGAGAGAGAGAGACAGCATGAGCAGGGGAGGGTCAGAGAGAGGGGGAGTCACAGACTCTGAAACAGGCTCCAGGCTCTGAGCTGGCAGTCAGCACAGAGCCCGACGCGGGGCTCGAACCCACGAACCGCGAGATCATGACCTAAGCGAAAGTCGGACGCTTAACCGACTAAGCCACCTAGACGCCCCTTTACAAAACATTTTTAATGTTTATTTATTTTGAGAGAGATAGAGAGGGAAAAAAATGAGCGGGGAGGGGCTGAGAGAAAGGGAGACGCAATTCCAAAGCAGTCTCCAGGCTCTGAGCTGTCAGCGCAGAGTCCGATGCAGGGCTCAAACTCATGAACCATGAGATCATGACCTGGGCTGAAGTTGAATGTTCAACTGACTGAGCCACCCAGGTGCCCCTGGATATATCTCAATTTCAATAAAAATCCCAACAGACTCTTCTATAAAAATTAACACAAGTTGATGCTAAAATTTACGGTTGATCTGCCTTATTTATGGAGTCCATATTTGTGACTTTGCTGGCTCACTAAGATTTATTTGTAGCCCCCAAATCAATACTTGTCTTACAGTTCATTGATGGATGTGTGCAGAGTGGTGACAATTTGTAATCAGTCGGCATACACCATCCCAGCTTTGAGGATTTCAGCTGAGGTTGAACAAAGCAATACTCTGCCTTTGTGTGCCGTAGTGTTTTTTTGGTGGGCAATTTCATGCTGTTTTCACATATTTTGTGCTTGTTGGTTGATTTTGCTATTTAAAATACCCCCGAGCATAGTGCTAATGTACTGTCTAATGTTCCTAAGGGCAGGAAGATTGTGATGTGCCTTAAGGAAAAAAAAAATGCATTTGTTAAATGAGCTTCATTCAAGCATGAATTATAGTGCTGTTAGCTGTGAGTTAAGTGGTTAGTAATCAACAATATATATTAAATAAGATCCCTTTGAACATAAACACACATAAAGCAAAATTATGTACTGGTCAGTTGATGAAATGATTTTACCAGAAGCCCAGTAACCCAACTCTGTCTTTTCCATAAGAACAATGGTTCAGTATTTACTAATTCAGTGTTCACGACAATTTGTATAGAGCATAAGAATTACAAGTAATGAGAAGCAACTCTGTACGAAAATGCCAAGGGCATAGAAGAGCCAGAATAACTTTGAACAAGAACAAAGTGGGAGGATTTATACTATTTGATTTCAAGGTCACCTCTAAAGCTAGAGTACTTAAAGTGATGTGGTGCTGACACATAGCCAGACATACAGATCAATGGAAGCAAGCAGAAGATCCAGAAATAGACCCACACATATACTGTCTATTGATTTTTGACAAAGGGCTCCAAGATAATCCAGTGGAGAAAGGAAAGTCTTTCTAACAAACAGTGCTGGATCAACTGGGTAAACATGGGGGAAAAAAAGAACCCTAACACATCTGTCCTCACACCATGCATATAAATTAACTCAAGGCCAATTGGAGCCTTCAACATAAAAATTAAAGTGATAAGAGGAAAAAATGTAGGACTGCAAGTATACTTCCCTGGCCTTGGGATAAGCACAGGTTTCTTAAAGAGGGAATGACAGAAGACTTATACCTAGAATATATTAAAGGCTCCTACAACTCAATAATGATGAATAAACACTCAATACATAACATTAAAAAAAAAACAGACAAAAGAACTGAATACAAACACTTCACCAAAGAAGATATATGAAGAGACAGTAAGTCACATGAAGAAATGCTTGCTGTCATTAGTCATCAGGGAAATCTAAGATTGACTAAACTTAATAGATTTTGTGTTCTCTCAGGAAAAGGAAAATCTTTGTAATTTGGAAAAGAAATACTCCAGCCTCTCTGGGGGAAAAGGGTTTCCCGTCAACCCCAGTACTCTAAAAGAGGTAAGCCATGATTTTACATGTCCGCTTGTAGTACCTTAGAAATCAAGAGATGTGCCTCAGTTTTATGTGATCAGCTAAAGAGGAAAACATTCACTTAAGTAACTTAGAAAGCATTCAGCGTTTTGATGGTTTCCCTGCCTTTTATTTATGCTTTGAGGATTTCAGGGATTATCTTTGTGTCCAATGCAGATGCACTGTGTGTGTGTGAGCATGTGCGTGTGCATGTGCGCGCGTGTATGTGTGTGTATAGAATATGCATGACAGTGACATTGTGGGTTAATGTGGAGTTTCAAACAAGTTGGAATCTAAACCAAGACTAGTTTTTTTTTTTTTTTTTTTAACGTTTATTCATTTTTTGAGAGAGAGAGACAGAGTGTGAGTAGGGGAAGGGCAGAGAGAGAAGGAGACACAGAATCTGAACCAGGCTCCAGGCTGCGAGCTATCAGCATAAAGCTGGATGCAGGGCTCGAACTCATGAACCATAAGATCATGACCTGGCCGAAGTCAGACGCTTAACCAACTGAGCCTCCCAGGTGCTCCTAAACCAAGACTAGTCTTAAATTATCTTCTCTGCAATTTTCTTTTTCAGTTCCTCCTCTTTCTTACTTTATATCTCCTTCTCCTAAGTCTGATAACACCTAAAAAATGCCTCTGCATACTTGAGAAGATAGTCTGGTTTCTTCCTTCTCTCTGTCTCCTCCCCTCCCGCCCCCCCACAATGTTGTTTCTGCTATTTCCCTCCTTAAATTAGAAAATCCTATTTACATGAAGCTACACACACTTTTTATTCCAAACATCCTTCTTTCGGAAATATCTTATGGAGCTACACTATTACAATGGGGGAATATTTTAAGTCTAATTTGGAAAGTTATAACCCTGACTGAGAAAGAAAATAGTTGTTATTTTTTTAGCATAGCTGACACACCATGTTACATTAATTTCAGGTGTCCAGTACAGTTTTTCAGCAAGTTTGCATATTATGCTATGTCGACCACAAGTGGTGCTATCATCTGTTCCAATACAAAATAAGTTTCTCTGTATTTATTTTTTCCAAAAAGCTAAAGAAAAAAAGTTGCTTCTGTATAAAAATGTGTGTAAGAACCAAAAAACTACTTTATTTATTAAATATCTATTTAAAAGGCAGCAGAGCTAAGACTTCCTACATAGGGCGTACTGTGGGGGGGGGGAGGGGTATATGAAGTAAATGCTTATCACATAATAAGTATGAATGATGTGTATCTCAGAAGCAGTTTGAACTATTTCCACAAGAGCTTTATTAGATGATTCAGGTTTATAGTTTCCCTCCATTATTCAGAACACAGAACTGGCAGATTCAGTGAACAAAGGTAATAGTGGTTGGAGTGGGGTAGAATGAGAGAATGTCAGCGAGGTGGGCAGGGACCAGCTCGTATGAGGCATGTTAAAGAAACATGGCGTATCGTATGTGGCTGGGAAGTCACTGAGTGAGTGGTATTAAGCAGGGAAATGACCTTCTTTGATGTCCATTTGTTAAGTATCACTCTGGGCTGCTCTACTGGGTTCTGAGGAGTCGGAGGGGAAGTGGAAGAACCAGGAAGGAGGTGACTGCAGACGTGTAAGCTGGAAATGCTGGTGGCTTGTCGTCACACAATGGCAGAAAGATGGAGAGAATCAGCTGGATGTGGATATATATTCTGGAGCAGAGTTCACAGTTCTTGCTGATATATTGGATATGAGGATGAAGTAAATTAAGGGAGGTATTGGGAATGATGCCATTTTTCCCGTTTGAATAATGAGCTGGATGGTGAGGACCTTTTCCTGAGGTAATGAAGACAGGGAAAAGCATAGGTTAAAAGGGGAGAAGTGCAGTTTGATTCTGGACATACTGAGTTTGAGGCGCTGTGGCATCCAAATGAATTAGATAGGCTCTTGGATCTTTCTACCTCTTCGTATAATAATAAAATCTTTCCTTTTCCGTTGATGAATTGTTCTTTTTCTCTGCAGATTTCCTGGTGCCCAAAACCCATTTGGCTTGTTGATGTTTTGTACGTCTCCAGTTCTGTGTTTGTTGAGTAGCTGTGTTCTCTTTCATGGACTGAGACGACTTGACTCACGGGAATTTTGAATTTCTTCCTTTCTGCCCCTCTCTCTCTCTCACTGTTTCCGTCCCTCACTCTCTCTATTTTTTTAAGGAGTGATTAACTTATATCTAACTCTTTTAAAACAAGTCCCACTTTTGATGAATGGCATATGAGTTAGGTCCTATGGTCCATGACATGTGAAGAATCAAATCTTGGTTTTGAAGGGCTGCACTGTCAACTAAGCAAAAGAATAATTGAAAAGTGGTGACTCTTCATTCTCATTCGTTATCAAATAGAAAGTAAAATCTAAAAACCCAGTGATCAACTTCCTTTCTTCAATTTAATCTTATGAAACTTTACATGGTATCTATTGCTGTGAAATGCAAGACTATACTCTGCAGCATTTTTGAACCCTACAGTTTTATAAAATAGTCAACTTTAGCTTTCTCAAATTGCCGTAATTATGAATTCTCAGTAAAACCTTGCTTTCCAGCCTGAAATTTTGCTTCCCCAGAACCATGATATCTTACCTATCCTGGAGCCACTATTTTAAAGGATTGAGGGGCTAATAGAAGAACCCAAGTGTCAAATTTAACTCAATTTTACTTTTAAAAGAGACGTACTCTTCTGTATTCGCCATTCTGTTTTTTCCTACTGTTTTGTTGGTGTGGTGAAAATCATGATTGGTCTGTACAATTATTTTCCATGAAAATTTATAAGCGCCTTTTCCTCATATATAAATTGAGGAGTTTTGATTTTTGCAGGTTTTGACTCACAGACATTTTCTCTAAGCCGAAGCTCGAACTGAATCATTAAACTTCAAAGTCCATGAGCAATTCTCTGTCCTGGGGTAGAGTGGAGAGTTGGGGAAGCCACTTTGAATTGAAATAGCCTCGAGCTACAACTCCACCTTAGGGAGTGTGTGTGTGTGTGTGTGTGTGTGTGTGTGTGTGTGTGTACACATTTGTCTTGCTAGGGAAGGCTCATGAGAGGACAAGTATCCCTTTTATTCTCGTTTAGGTGTGACGCCTGAGAGCTAGATTCCATTACGAATAAATTACTACTTATGAAATGTCTTCGAACAAAACCCAGAAGCCCTCAGCCTACTGTTACTCACCCTCTAACTCATCAGGAAACAGAAGAAAAGGGGCAAATCTAAAACTAAAGATTTGTGGGAAAAGCTCTTAAAGTATGAGTGATTGCACTATAAATTTTATATCTCAGATTTTCGTGTATGTGATCATTTTAAATGTTGTATAGTGATGCCCTCATTCAATCAACGGAATGAATAGCTGATACCTCTGGATATTTTGAAATCGAAGGCATGGGTTATTTATAATATAATCATCCTGATTTCACCTCCCAAAAGCGTATTTGTTATGTTTGGCATATCATTTTTCAAGATTGAGCATCGTAAATCCATTTTAATGGCTGATGATTCCCTTAATGAAACATTTGGTAATACCACAGATATTTGGCTGTGCCGCTCAAAGCTAACTCCATTGTACTGGGAGCATTAATACTCTTGCATGCCTCAGCTTTTGCTTTCTTTGTGTTTAACTTCTGAATTCCTCCTTTTAGGGCTATATCAATGTAAATGAAATTAATGAGCCATGTGTCAATTCCACGAATCTATCCCCTTCCTCTCAGTTCCCTGCTGATGCTGATGCTGTTGCCACTGGGCCTCCCACAGCTGTGCCGGTGAGCCAGCCACAAAATAAAGAGGTGTGTTGGCATGACATTTCATTCATTCACTGCTTTCCTCGTGTCAAAGATTAACCCATGGTTACCTGATAGCGAAGGTGTGTGTGACCAATATACCGTCTGGTTGACCAGCGGGCCAGAGTGCTGCTGAGTTTGAAAAACATAGTAGTTGGAGGTCCTTCCCTGTCACTCGTGAAACTATAAATCATGAGATGTATGGTACAGAGTGGAGTACTAGGAGAATTAAGTTCAAAACCATAAACTCTAGATCTGAGCACTCTAACCTGACATCGTTTTCATAGAAGCTAAAAAGCCTTCCTAAAATTGTTAGTTTGAATTGCTTTTCCAGTTTGATTTTGTTTTCTGTCGTCTTGTGCAGTATGGATTTTTTTTTAATGGCTTTTAAAAACACCTGGGTAGGGGCAAATAATAGCAAATTAAAATACCTTCCAACTGATCCAGGTTGCTCGCACAGTGGGATTTTAACAAGAGACTAAATTGAAAGATACTGCCCATCATTTGTGACTTCTCGATTAAAATACAAGAGAACAGACTAATGAGATTATCGATTTCATTTCTTTGTCTAATTCTTTCATTTCCTATGAACACATATATACTTTTTCTTTCTCCTATAAAGCAAAGATCACCTGTCTGTTCTGGATTTATGTTTCCTTCCACCCTTTCTCCTCATCCTATCACTCAACCTCCATCAGCCCCTTGGCCCGAAGTCCTGGCTCCATCTGTCGATCCTTTCCCTTTAAATGACACACCTCCTCCTCTACCAGCTAAGAAACACAGAAGGCAGCCCCAGCAGCTGGAGCAACAGGTAACTAGACAAAGATACTCAAAGAGTGAGAGCTTGACCTTGACAACAAAGTTACTTATGTGGAATCTTTCCATCGGCTTTTCCAAAGGTGTCCTTAAAAACACAAGTACATAATCATTTGCTGGGTTTGCTTTCGTTTGGTTGGGTTTTCTTTTGTTTTTGTTTTTGTTTTTAGGGCATTTTGTATTTTTTAAGGGTGTGGGGATTGCTATAAACTTCGATACTTGATTGCCCTCTCCTGACTTTTGATATGTTCAAGCTAGATAGGTTTCACATGCTCATGCTTCAGTTCCCCTTCAACCAAAATATTGCAACTTCTCTCAGGCATTTTTAAAAGGATAATAATTATTTCCATGAAACCCATGGTATAAAAAGTTGCTGGGTCAACACAAAATATTTTTCTTACACATTACTGAAGTCATAATAATAGACCCCATGCCCTTGCTATGTGTCAAAATTTGCTAAATATTTTACAAATAAATATCTCATTTCTTTCTTCTAATAATCCTGTGAAATAAGAATGAACTCCTTAGTGCCTGAGGTAAATAGCTTGTCCAGCGTCACACCACACACACACACAAAAAATGCATTTGCTTCATAGTTTTTTATTGACTGCATTTTAAATAAGCAATTCATTATTATGAATGTCACCCTTCTTTGAGTACATTAGTGCATATTCATGTGTGGATATTCAAAAAATATGTTTTGAGGTTCCTTTCAACTATAACCAAATTTCGATATGAATTTGGCCCCAGAAGATGCTAAGGAATCATAATCACTAGATCCCCAAATTAGATGAGCCCTGGTTTGCTATGCCCAGCTGTTACTTTTCTTTCTTTCTTTTTTTTTTTTTTAATGTTTATTTATTTTTGAGAGAGAGAGAAAGACAGACAGAGCGTGAGCAGAGGAGGGGCAGAGAGAGGGAGACACAGAATCTGAATCAGGCTCCAGGCTCTAAGCTGTCAGCACAGAGCCCGACACGGGGCTTGAACTCACGAACCGTGAGATCATGACCTGAGCCGAAGTCAGATGCTTAACCGACCGAGCCACCCAGGCAACCCCAGCCATTACTTTTCTTCAAGTTGTCTTTACTGCCTTTTACCTTTTGTTAAAGGGCTATATCTCCTCACTACTTTTAGGTTAATAAATATTAACTAGCATAAATAAATAATTATGAGGTTAACATGTAGATATTTTTCATGATTGGCATATTTTGAAAATTGATCATAAATTTGGTAACTCAAATTTGCATTAATTTTTATGTATTTCCAAAGCTTGAGCTTAGTATAAAAATGATCCAACCCTATGAGCCTATAATTAGGAATTAACTATACTACTAGGTAAGACCTTTGGCAGGAGGCTAAGAAAAATTTGGATAAATTTCAAGTTGGCAAACATTTTGCCTTAGGAATATATATAAAAAAATAAAGAAATAGTCAACAAGAGGATTTTTAAACGTGAGGGACTACTACAGGGGTTTCCCAACTAAGATCTTATTTTAAATAAAAGGGTAATCTAGAAGGATGCCTTATATGGAAACGTTACATGGATTTGGAGTGTTTATATGTAATTAAAATAATATACCAACTTTAAAACAACTTCCCTGTTTACTCGCTCTTTCTCTCCATCTTCTTCCTTCTCCCTTTCCTTGTTCTCCTCACACTGGGATCTGTGCCAGCACACAGAACTATCCAGACAGACAAGGGGAGAAACTGCTTACTTGCTTTGGCTGTTCCGCCAACCGCATGGAGGCCATCATAATAATTTTAAGTTGTCCTGAGGCCCCAAGGCAACAGGTACTAACTATGAAAGTGAAAGGTGGATTTATTTTTTAAGTTTCTAGGTCCAATAATACATTCTTCCAGTGTCTTCCAGTGTATCTTACCAAATGCTAGCCCTAGTCTGTAAGTGACCACAAGTGTAAGATGAATTTTTTTTTTAATTCTGTGTTAAAATCCCAAAACTTCTTTGTGAATGCATACTTCTTAATTTCCTCAGTAACCTGTTGCAATTAGTCAAGTTTTGCTGTTCTGCTTTACATTTGCATTTAAAGCATTTTAGAAGTCTGGAAGAAAGGAAAAAACAGCATAAAGAAGGCCTCTATCTGAGTGACACTTTGCCTCGAAAGAAAACCACACCTTCCATATCCCCACATTTCAGCAGTGCTACTATGGGGAGAAGCACCACCCCAAAGGTAGGACGTGGGGTGAACCATGGGCTTCGGTCAGTGAGTCTCTTTGTCCTAATGTTGACCAACGTGCAAAGGCTCTTAAAGAAAATGCTGAAAAATAAACCATTAAGTTTGCTTATTGGGCAGACATATAAGTATACTACATTTTCTGTCTTATTCAGAGGACGTTTGGAAGTGTACTCACTGGGACCAAAGGACCCGGTCCAGGGTGTTTCTTCCACCACCACACAAGTGGTGGGTCACGTTCACTTAGGTGACAGATTCCATTGACTGCCTCCCAAATCTGGAAATTGGTAGATAGAAGCTCTGGGTACCAGGAATAGTAACAAATATTTATTGAGAGTCATTTCTATGTGCCTGACCCTGGACTAAACCCTTTATGTGGATTGCCTCATTTTAAAATCCAGCAGCACTATTCAGTAGAGGTGATCCTTATTTTCTGCATCGTAAATATGGACAAATTGAGGGATAAAGAAGGGAAGTGCCCTCAGCTGGTTAGCCGTGAAGCTAGACTCAGGTGTCACCCTTGAGTCCTCACTCATGTTTTGCTGACATGTCCAGGGCGTCATTGCAGAAAGAGGGGGGAGGCAGATGAGAAGGAGGTTCTGAGTGGGCCAGGCTTTGGGGCCCTTCCCTTGCCCTTAGCCAGAGTAACTTTGTTTGAATCTATTTTATAAACTGGTGTTCTGAGTGTATTTTACACTAAGGGCTTTCTGTTTTGAAAGAGTACTAAACCCTTGGGGGTAGTTGATAGGTTTCTCCAGTTGCCACGGGGAGACAGAAATTGGTGCACTTGTAACAAGTATAGATCTTCTCTTCTTTGTGCATGATGTGCATGCATTCTTGTCCCTGCATCTGCCCTCGGCTCCTTATGCATGAAGAACTTTGAGTTGTTCTCTAAGGTGGTTTTGGACAATGTTTCCCCATCTGTCTTCATTTTTGGAATTGCTGCCACTGGAGAAATTACTGTGGTGTCGAGCCTGACATGGAGCTCCTTGGAAGGATCGGTGACCGGCCATTGCCATGTAGAGTGAATAAATGGGACCCATTCGTTCCTCCTTCCCGCCTTCCCTACCCTGTGCGCTTGCATTGGAGCTGTGGAGACGGGGATGTGGCCATGTCCCGAAGGACCGTTTGGCCTGCGGTTTGCCTGAAGTGTTTCCTCCCGGTTCTCACAGGCTCACCTGCCCCTGGGACAGAGCAACAGCTGCGGCAGCGTGATGCCTCACTCACTGGCAACCATGACCAAAGACTCCGAATCTCGGAGGATGCTCAGAGGTAAGCGCCTTTTAAATCCTAAATTGTGGCTTTTGTTAAAGCATCCAAATTTCTCGGTGGGGGGGGTGGGGGGTGGGGAGAGCAAAAACAAGGTTGGGGATCGATTGGAGAGGAGATCAGATGCTCAGTTTCATTCTTAATGAGTATTCTTGGGGGAAGGATCTATATCTCCTTACTGTGGTACTAAAGTAACTTTTTCTATTAAATGGATGGCTGGTACCTTTTAAACATGCCCACTGTCCTTTATAAATTCAATAGAATTCTCAAAACAAGAAGGCCCCTAGAGCATTACTAACCTCATTGGTAGACAGAAAAGAGAGACCACTGAGATCCAGAAAGATCACCAGGGCACTTAACCAAGCCACTTAACTGGTCTGTGGCTAAGCCATGCTGTTGAAACATGCTGAAGACTCATTGAGCTGACACAGTAAACAGAACACTAGCAGTCCAGAGCAGAAGTCCCTAAGGCCTTTTAAGGTGGTTTGAGCTTTTATTCTACGTGATTGTTAGGTTTCAGGCAGACCTTGATTCTCAGCATCTCTTATTTTTTTGTAATAGTACATTGCATTTATAATGAGGTTGTCGAATAGTCTTTGTGGGGCTAGGAGAAATTACTAGAATGCTGTTCCAGAGGTGAGCTGCTCATTGAGTGGATTAGATGTCTGTTAACACAGGCACCTAGGTCAGTAGTTTATATAGACCCTGACTTCTGAGCAGGCCTGGTGCTTGAGACCAAGAACACAAATGAATGACACAGTCAGCCCTGACATGCTTATAGTCCAGTGAGGAAGAAAGACACATAGCAGACGATTTAAATAAAATATGATAAATGCAGCAGTGGAGGAATGCCCAGGATATAAAGGAGAATGCTGACGGAGGGGTGGGCACTTGGACTCTGAATGCATTCATGCATTCGTGAGATTAGAACGCTTCCCTCCAAGCAGGCTGGGATTCAGTTCCGACTGTTCAGCCCTTCTGCCAGTGGTACCAGGGGATAATCACTGGTTCCCTGCAAAAAAAAAAAAAAAAAAAGAAAGAAAAAGAAAAAAACAATAGAAAAGAAAAGAAAAATATTTATATAAATAGGGGTGTGAGGGTTGCTCGCTCAGTTAAGTGTCTTACTCTTGATTTTTAGCTCAAGCCATGATTTCATGGTTGATGAGATGAAGCCCCACATTGGGCTCTGCACTGACAGTGTGGAGCCTATTTTGGAGTCTCTCTCTCCTTCCCTCTGCCCCTCCTCTGCACTCACTCTCTCGCAAAATAAATAAACATTAAGAAAAGAAATCCATATAAATACATATTGTATACATATATGAATTTTGGTATATAAAAAAATGTGTGTATGTGTATATTATATACATATAGTATAACACTTGAATGAGGTTTTTGAATCAATACTAGAAGCGATTTAAGAGTTAATAGAGGTTGTAATATTCATAAGAGAGGTTTATAACACATGAAAGGTAGACAGTGTTAACATGTGAATCGAATACAATTGATTAAGCTTCTCTTATTTTCTTTACTATAATTTCCTAATAAGCTAAAATATCTCTTATGATTTATAAATAGTAAACATAAATGAGTCTTCATATTTTGGCTGTCATTCATCATTATTCACTTGTGGTCCAAGTCTATTTTCTGTGAAAGCATTTTTCTCGGATATTTATAGACTTTTTAAATGTATTTTGCCCACTGGCTGAAGACATCAAAGCTTGGATTGGCCACAATGCCATATTTTATGTTTTTACAAACATAAAACATTTATATTTTTTTTACATTTTATCTTATAAAACATTTATATTTTATCATACTAAATGGAGAGATTTGTAAATTCAAGAACTATTAACATTATCATGTAAGAGGATTCTTAAGAGAATATGGCAAAACTGAAGGATATTTGATCTTTTTCTAATCTCTTTTTGTCATCAAATGATGGGAATCCCCATGCTAGGTTCATATAGGAAAAGTGAGCCGATTCTCTTAGGTCACATTAGGATGTACTCTGCAAAATCCATTGACCTTGACCTGTCTCTTTGCTCTGGTTCTTCATCGATGCACTTCACTTTTGAGCATCTGGGCAGATGGCAGCTTCATTCTTCCTCCTGCAGCTCTAAAGTGGGGTCCTTCTTGAAGAATTTCATGTGCCGAAGAGAGAGCCTCTGAGGAAGTAGAGAACCATCTAGTGTGTGTTGATCCACACATCTGGTGTGATGTGTCTTGGGAAGCCAGAGGAGGAGGGGACGGGGACTGCAGTTCTTAGAGCCACCCTGGAGCGTTAAAGTTGGCAAGATTTTCCACTAAGCCCATCCAGGTAGCCCACACAGACCAGGAGAGATGAATCACTATTTCATTTAGAATGGCTTGACTAGTACCTTGCTGGCTTCACTGAAATAGCAAACAAGTAAAACTCCATGGTTTTGAACAAATTGCACTTAACCCATTTTCATTAACTCAAATCTTATAGATTTTATCATTGGGGGGGATTTACACAATTAACTTAAATGCACTGTGTTTTTTTGCTGCTTATTCATAACGGATACATCAAGGACAATGGTGTAAGTATAAGCCTTCCTTCGATCAACACTGTTTTCATAAAACTGACCACGTGAATCATGCAAACAAAGGTCTTTGAGAGCTGAGTTTAGAGCACAGAGCCCAGGAACTCAACTCTAAAAGTTGTAATGGTTATTGGCTTTTGTACAACTTGTGACCTGGTCCTTTGTAAGCTTTAGAATGAATGAAATCTTTGTCCTTCTGTCTTCCGTTACATGCAGGAAAGTCCAGGAAAGGTATGACAACCTCCCTGTGTGCTGCTTTTGTTGCCAGCAAGTGGTGAAAGGTCATTGTGGAGGCATCTTTAAGAAATTGATCAGATTTGAAACTGCAAAATAGTGAACTTTGAATCTCATGATCATTCCTTTCACACAGTAGGGAAAGATTGTTGCCCGTTTGCTAGAAACGCAACGCGAGCGCAGCTGCTGCTCATGCACAAGCAGCGGCATGACCACCATTGTTTCGGTATCTTATTTCAAGGTCAGACCGCACAGAAAACATGAGCGCTGTGGAAGCATTGCTTTGTAAGATTCAGAACCGAGCTAGAGACAAGAGTAGGCACGAGTCTAGGCCACATGTAAAACATGATGTTTCTGCTTTCCGAAGGCCAGGCATAAATAAGATGGGCTGCATGGGAGGAGGGAAGGATTCAGGACGCTCCTACCTATCGGCTCTGTTTGAGTCTCTTTTAGAAGTAAGACCTCGTGGCGAGTAAAAACCAGTTTAAATGACTGGCTTGAATAAATATGATGCTCATACTGTGGCTAGCCAGTAGTGCAGGATGTCAGAGGACGGACTGCTTATGAAGTGTGATGGACTGCGCCTCAAGTAATTGAATGGCAGTTTTGTAAACCCTGGCTCTTAAAACCTATTTGTTGCTGTCTGCTTGGGAAAAGGAAGTGTCTTATTGTTATGATCTGGTTTTTATTCTCCCTGTTTTCTGGTCGACGAGTATGTGTGAAAGATGTTATTGATTTTTTTTTCCACTAACTGTATGTCTGTATCATGAGCTTATTGTTTTTTGACTTCTCAAGTCTTTCTCAGATTTAAACCTAGAAATGGGAAAACATTTGCCTTGTAAACTCAGATTTAACCTAGAAATGGGAAAACATCTTGCCTTGTTGATCTGGTGGTGTTACTAACACTGTCAATGACTGCATGTTGGAAGTGTTGTATATTTTTCCTGTCCACTGTCATCCTTTTTTGATCTTGTCTCTTTCTCCCTTTCTCCATCATTCTCCTTCATCCCTGACTCGCCCTGTACCTTCATCTCCTGGCTGTGGACTATGGTTAGGAAGAATGAATTTCTCAGCAGGTGAGCTATGATAGGCTAACTTGTCAGAAATACAGATTAGTTTTATCCTCTTAAAGGTGATAGTTTTAAGTCACCTCATTTTCTATATTAAGCCCAGATAACCACTTAAAATATACAACACACATTGGGAAGATATTGGCAAGGCTATATGTTTTACAGTGGTCAACTCAAAAGGAGTTTCCAGGTCTAATGGGCCCAGAATTCATAGATAGGCAAAAATTGAAAAAAATAATAGTAATAATAATTAATAATAATAATAACAAATGGGCTTTGCACATCTATTCTGCTGGCTCTCTCGGACAGTGAAGAGAGTTGAGCTGGTTTGGGTTCTTTGCATGTGCTATGCTTAGCGATGAGCCTCAGACATTGTCAGGTCTTACTTTATAAACCTTATAAACACCCCCTCAAATGGCTATTTCTGCCTGGATAGAAAGGATTTAGAGCATTAAAAGGCCCTTTTTGTTTTTCAGTTGCTGTCCCGCTGCTGAATGTTACTCTTGCTACATAATTTAAAAACAAAAAAAAACAAAAAAATGAGTAGTCTCAGAGATTGGGGAAGTCTCATTTTTCCCAGGGTGCTTACTCTACCCCATCCCACACAGTAGGTGTGTCCCACTTCCTTAGCTAGCCACTACTCAAGCTGGAATTTACAGATGAGAAGATGAATTGATTCAGTGGCTCTTTAATTCATGACATCTCTGTACTAAATGAATGGGGATCCTGTGGTGACCAGGACACATGTGTCCCCTCCGTTAAAGCTTGCACCTGTTCTAGGACCACCTAATGGCAGGAAGAGTTCTTCTTGGACCTTCTACCAGGGTTTCCTCTGGTCTGCCGCTCTCCTCAAGTGTTCCCTCCATCAGAAGTATCTGTACCTTTGGGCAGACAGGCCAGAGCCTGAATCCCAACACCAGCTATTTGGAAGCACGCTGGTGCAATTCCAGGATCACAGGAACGAGGTCCCTGCCCTTATTTGTGATTGCAGAAGTGACTTACGTTCTTGAAGTTGTTCAGAAGGCAGTAGTCTAATCCAGGTGATAGTTGAGTTCACTGTGATTAGTGAAGTGCTGCCAGTTGGGAGAAACAGGCCCCTTCATGAGGTAGAACATTTCCACTCATGCTGATCCACAGGAAACAAAACTCTTGCACTGGGAAGCATATGCTCATTAGCAGAAGACTCTTTACTAAAATTGCAATGAAACTCTAAGGTACTTAGCCTACCACCAGAGTGGAGGAAAGTTCTCTCAAACATAGAGCCAAACCTCAACAAGTGTTGAGGTGATCTGGGGGATTTATGATGTTCACAGTCCTTAGCACAGTACATGTTGTGACACAGCTGTCCCTTGTGCCCACGTCTGAAAAATCTGAATCGTTTTAGTCTAATGTCTACCTCACCTGAAGGTTGTAAAGTCATGTTCTTATTCTGTGACTTTTGAAAAAAAAAAAATCCAGGGAGATCCGAGGATGAGGACACACAGTTACTTTAAGAAGAAATATACTTGCCGTCTTCTCTGCTTTTCCAAGAAGGTGTTGGTTGCATTATAGGGATTGGCCTTCTCTCATTATGAAAAACCGAAAGGGAAGAGGAGATTGTGGTGCATGTCATTGCCAAGGAGATAATTCTCATACGTTTTAAATTACGTGGCTGTCTTTTAGGGATTTGTTTTTCATACTAACAGGGAAATGGCTTCCATATACTCAGGGCCAATGCAGAAGTTTTCTTTGCCAACAAGCCTTTTTTGAAAGCATAAGGAAAGATACATGTGTGACTTTTTCAAATAATTTCTGGTGTTTTTGTTTTGTCCCCCTCCTTTTCGTAACGAATAACTGGAAACAATTTAACAGGAGCAATTAGTAATTCCAAAAGTTCAAGTATCAAAGGTAAATATTTGAGTAATGCTTTTTTTATAAAGGCACAAACTCCACGCTTATGAATGTACTGGCTTCATTTCATGCTTTCTGCATTAATCATTACAAATAATGATATTCTATCTAAAGTCTCATGGTGTGCTTTTTTTGTGTTGTGTCTTCCATTGGCTCAGTGACCTGTAGCTTTTACATACGTATTTGTAATTTACAATTATAGCTTATATTAAGGAAACATTTTCCTGGAAATGCCATAATCTGAACTAACATATTTTCACTTAAATATCTAAAACCACTCCAAATAGTTTGGCATGCAAACTCTGTGTAGAACTAAAATCATTTTACAGAAATTGTTGGTGGACCATGCTTTACTAAAGCCTCATGGATGTGGCCCTGCTTTTGAATGGAAATGTTCAACTGTTAGCTGAGGAAGCTCTTTGGAATCGCTGCCCTTCTTTCACCCTCTGGCTGCTGTTTTGACCATTTCGTTACCAATTAAAAGCCTCACTGAAGGTCAGTAGAGTACAAGGAAAGAGGCAAACTTCAGATGGTCAAGGTATAAACTCTCAGTAGGTCCGGTAGTAAATTTGATAAGGGAGAAAGAGATTTCAAACTACTACTGGCTAGAGAAGCATCTTTTTCATAAATTGAGGAATTGGTTTGTCATTATGATCCCTGCTTCCTACGTATATGGTAATGAGAGAATTGAAAGGAAGAATAACTTAGTTTGCATTGCCTAAAAGCACCCACCAGAAAACAAGCCATAGCGGTAACTCAGAGTAAAGCCAAGACCTAACACACCCGCTGACCAAGTACCAGGGTAAGGAACAAGCCTCTTACTGATGGCATTTTTGCTGCTATTGACGTGAGTTCTACAGTTTTGTATGGTCAATACCAGCAACTAGCTGAGGGCTGACAGTCAAGGTGGAAGAAGAAGAGAGTTTCACATACATTAATTAGGAGGAGCACAGCCATTGGGAGGATTGTTCACTGCAAAGGTTTTCAATAATTGGCGGACCGGAGAAGTTGAAAAATGAGGAATGAGAAAAATACACAGGTTGGATTTTTAGTAGATTAAAAGTGCTCGTGACAATATGAGTGAGACCCAAGATTCTTAAATATGGCACCTAGATGATCCACCTGCTGTTTTATGACCTGATCGAGTCCTCCTTCCACTGGAATCCTGTTGAACAAGTGACTGCCCTAAGACCCTGCTGTCGCTTGTCACTGGGAGTCATCTTGCTTCACTTGAACCCAGCTATTTTTAGAAGATACAGGCCTTGAATTGTGTTTCCGTTTTGTTTTGTTTTTGCTTTTTTTGTTTTCATGCGTGCTGACGTATTATTCTCAGTTGAGCTGAGATGTGGGAACGGCAAAGGGACATGTGAGATGATCCTCTGACCAAAAAGATCACTTGCAAGCCCACCCCTCTGAAACTCTTGCTTGCACTGAGCATGATGCTGTGTCTTTGATCTTCTTGGCTTCAAAACAAATTAGACTAAGGCCCAAGTTTCACAGGCAGATGTTTTGGGTTGCTGGTTTGACTCTCAGAAGATCTAAGGCTGAAACATGAGGCATACTAACATATTTATGGCTCTTCCCTCAGGGTATAATCACCAGCAGATGAGTGAAGGACAAAGGCAGAAACCTTCTGAATTTTACAACCGCACAGCATCTGAATCAAATGTCTACTTGAACAGTTTCCACTATCCTGATCACAGCTACAAGGACCAGGCCTTTGATACTTTGAGCCTAGACAGCTCCGATAGCATGGAGACCAGCATCTCTGCCTGCTCACCTGACAATATCTCCAGGTAAGGTATATTCACGGTTCAGCTTTCTAGTGTAGAAAAGCACCTGCTGGTCTCAAAAAGTAAAGCCATAAATTTGGGGCAGTGTCTATAGACAAGCCCAAATATGAGACATAAAGAGTCTACGGAGAGGAAGAGGGTTGAGTGTCATGGCAGCCTTTTAAAGTAATTTCTTTGTATCCTGTGTGACTTAGCCAGTCAGACATCATATAATCCATTTTTCTCCTTTGCTTTATGCCTTTACATTTGAGATCACATGTATCCTGTGCTTCAACATTGACTTGCCTCTGTTGGTTGAAGCTTCATCGGGACTCCTTTTGATTGAATAAAGAAATAATTTCCAGCGATATAGTAAGAATGTTGAAGGATTTCTTACACTTATGTTTCATTAAAAGGAAGGCTTTAGCTCTTCCACATATTAGAATTTTTGTAAGGATTTAACCATTCACATTTGTGTTCATACTCTGAGGCAAAGAATAGTCTTAAGGAATTATGGCTAAAGGCACATCTAAAATATAGATCGAGTCCTGATACTCTGCCCCTTCAAGAGCTTTGATGATGCCCTCCTACCTTTTGAGAAAAGGCATACTCTAGAACCTGCATTCTACATCCAACTCAACTTCCCATTCACTCTCTCCCCCTGATACACCTCACAGAGCTTCTTATTAATACTCAAATCTCTGAGCCTTTGACCATATTAGTCCTAGGCCTGAAATCAAGTAGTTTGTTCATTCATCCATTTATAGGCTCCTTCATTCCACAGATACTTACAGAGTGCTCTGCAGTCCACAGTGGGCTGGACTTGGCTCATACTAGCTGGCAAATGCCACGTGTGCATATTTCCACCTCCGTGTGACCAGCGATGTCATGTTGGTAGTTTGAAATTGCCCATGTGGGAGCATGCACTCCACACAAATTGACATTTGCTATGTATCAGGGTTTTATTTCCCTCCAGAGAACTGGTTTGCCAGCACAACACTGGCTACAGTCAGTGCTATCCCTCCCTTTTTGTATTCCTTCAACTTACTGAGCACCGGTACTGTCTGGTGTTGCAAAACATCTGTATCATCTCCGATCCCCTCCCCTATCTGAGCCTGGAGTAATCTTCCTCATCCTTCAAGCTTAAACTTAAGTTGGAAACTCCTGAAAATTTCTCACTTTAAGACCTTTTTCTTCTGTGTTTCTATTGCACTCGATTCTTTTTTCTATCATATCACTGATCACATTGTGGTATAAAATTTTTCCTTCAGTAATTAATTGGTGAATTCCTCAATGTCAAGGAGGATGTCTCATTATCTTTTGGTTTCTCCACTCTGCAGAGATCTTAGCAGGTAGTGGGTTATTCAGTAAGTGTTGGTTGAGTAAATACCTCAGGATATAGTCAAATGGACATATTTTCAATTTTGGTATTTTTCTGTGTTTGATCTGTTTTAATTGGCTGAGAACCATTATGATTTTAATCTACGAAGCAATCCAATATTCAGTAAATGTTAATTGAGCACTTGTGTGTCCCAAATGCAAATGTCTGGTTGGATAATTAGTTGCCATCAACTAACGTCCCTATATTGGACTGAAGCCACAGGATGGGAGCAGGAACTTCCTTCTGCTTGTGCTCTATGACCTTGACCGGACAACTGATTGTCCTACTTGAAGCAGATCACAGAATGCCCTTGGTCCTGATTTCCTTGCTGGTCTGTGAAATGGTGTGGTTGTTTCTTCAATACAAGAGGATGGTGGATTTTAAAACATTTTAATGGAGGAGTGCTTGGGTGGCTCGGTTGGTTAGGCATCTGACTTCAGCTAAGGTCATGATCTCACCGTTCGTGAGTTCGAGCCCCATGTCGGGCTCTGTGCTGATGGCTCAGAGCCTGGAGCCTGCTTCAGGTTCTGTGTCTCCCTCTCTCTCTCTGCACCTCCCCTGCTCACTCTGTCTCTCTCTCAAAGAAAAAAAATAAATATTAAAAAAACTTTTATTGGAAAACTACCATCATGTAAATATAATTTATTTTAAATAATTTTTCCTCCCTCCACCTAAAATTAAAAAAAAAAAAAAAAAAAGACAGAGACAGAGGGAAAGTAATATCAGCAAGATCTATTCAGCTTTGGGTTATTTTGTGTTTCATAAATGAAAAGACTATGAGAGACCCAACTATAACTAGCCATTATAGCCAGGAAATTTTACGTTCAGGTGAAACGAGAAAAGGACAGATGTCACATTCTGTGTAAAGTACAGTGTATTTTAATTTTGGCATTAATGGGTAGAATATTAATATTACTGGATATATCCTGCCAGAGAAGGAAAGGAGTCTCTGGGGGAAACACTAAAGCAACGATGAGAATCGTATTGCTGCTTTCACATGGAAACGACCTCAGTTGAAGGAAGAGATTATGTAATGATTAAAAAAAAAAAAGGACTTTTATTTTATTTTATTTTTTTTTACAAATAGTTTATTGTCAAATTAGTTTCCACATAACACTCAGTGTTCATCCCCACAAGTGTCCTCCTCCATGCCCATCCCCCCCCCCCACATCCATCAGTAAAAAAGGACTTTTTTATGTTTTGCTGCCATTATTATGTCAGGTTAGAAGGGTTAGTGTTTTACATTATTCAATATTAAAAGATACAATATCTCACTTTTTGAAAAGTTCAGTACGACTGCTTGGGGGGAAACATTGAGTGTGTGGAATGGCTTGTCCAGGCCATGCTGGCAGTTGCCGGGAGCTGATGTTTTCAGAAGAGAAAGCCTTACATTTTGAGTAAATATTCATTAATGACAGTAAACCAACCAATCAGATGTGGTGCCTTTGAATAACAAGACACAAACAAAAGTCAGCAGCCCAGCAACCATCATCCCACAAGGGCAGGAAGAATAAAAGTGAGCATGACAAACGGGAGCACAGAATGAGGGTGCAGGCTCCCAGTGTCAGAGCCCATTCCGTGGCACTTTGTACTCAGTCGTTGTCTTGAAAACAGCAGACTGTCCTCCCCTCTTCACGAATAATTGTGAAGATTTTATATCCATATTTCTTTTGTGAACTCTTTATAGTTTGACCTTTTATTTTTCTATTTTTTGAGCCATCTTTAGTAAGGAAATACACTCTCTGCGTTTTCCTATCTTAGAATTTTCCACTCCCTGCCTCTTCCTCCCCAGCAAACATTGAAAGTGAACGTTTGTCTCTTCAAATTACCGCTCCTCAGGCCTCATATTTAATGGTGGTAAACAGCAGCGGTGTGGCAGTGAATACAGGAAATTACCCAAAAAGGAACCACTTTGATTATAATTACCAAGCATCACACGTTCAGATCGGGACACTTAAGCACAGTGACAGGCAAAAATTTAATTTATTTATTTATTTTTTTAATGTTTTATTTATTTCTAGGAGAGAGAGAGGGAGACAGCGTGAGCAGGGGAGGGTCAGAGAGAGAGGGAGTCACAGACTGAAACAGGCTCCAGGCTCTGAGCTGGCAGTCAGCACAGAACCCGACGCGGGGCTCAAACCCATGAACCGCGAGATCATGACCTAAGCGAAAGTCGGACGCTTAACCGACTAAGCCACCCAGGCGCCCCGAAATTTAATTTATTTTTATTTGCTCGCCCAGTTGCTTTTTGTTAAAATGACTTCCAACGGTATAGAGAATGAGAACGGCTCCCCTAACGATGCCATATGAAGAGGACAGCATCACTGTAGGGCATTCCTGGCAGGGGTTATGCATGGCCACGATCATCTTCCCTTCTTACTTCACACAGAGCTGACTCAGTGGTGCTACCAATCGCAGATAACCAGTCACCATGGTCAGAAATTGCTCATGGTGCTTATTTCATACTACTGTCTGATCCTCTCAATGTAAAAAAAAAAAAAAAAAAAAAAAAAAAGAAGCCCAAGTAGAAGATACTTGTCAAAGGTCTAGTATANAAAAAAAAAAAAAAAAAAAAAAAAAAATGAAGCCCAAGTAGAAGATACTTGTCAAAGGTCTAGTATAAAAAAGAAAGACAGAAACACACATTTTTCTTCTGTACCACCATCTACTTTAAAAAGTTCATGCTACCCCAAGATAAGCTTGCATCCATGATTATGATGGAAAATAATGGGATAAACATCAGGCAAATGGGTAATAAGAAACTAATGTTTGGAATGTATATTACGACACCACATCCTTAACGAGAACTTTTTGAGGTTAGGTGGAGAGAGAAAGGAAAGACTAAAACATTTTCTCTCTGTGCGACTGTTTTTAAGTTATGTATTAAAGTACCCTTAAATGATATGTATATTAAAGAGGTAATTCCATGCTGAAATTCTAGTGATATAAACCTCATCTTGTGGTGTATTATGTCACAAGAAGCCATTTGTAGAATTATAGAACTGTGCAGAGTTGTGGGTACACTGGCCTTTCCCTTTCTGTTGAGACATCACTTTTGTGTCTACCAGAGAGTTACTTGAGTCAGACAGTGTTTTTGCTTTTTCAGCATCGTTACTTACACCATCAACAAACAGAAAGCTAAGAAAACAGGTCTTGGGTCATAGAAAACAGCAGCGGAGCGTCAATTCTGCATAAAACCTCTATTCTGCTGAAATTACTGACTTGGCTCTTACCATACAGTGCCTTGCATACCGCCTGCAATGATATGTCATTACCACAATTGCTATTACTAATTTCCTAAGCCCTGACCTTGTGCTCATACTTGGAGAAAACGTTGAGGAACTCGATCCCTCATTATGGCTTAAATACCAGCAGTGTGCAAGTGTGGTGGGGAGAAAGACTGGGTATGGAGTTGAAGACAATCCATGGCTGAACTTGGCTTTAAGGGATGCTTTAATCCAAATTTCACATGCTGCTAGTTTCTTAATTCTAGGCAAACGTTTGTATTCTGCTCTCTACTCTAGAATGTCAACACCCAGCATATGCATTTTATTCTAGGGGGTTCTTTCAGAAGAGATCCAGAAAACCAAAGTGATCCCAGGAGAGGGCGGCCAGCTGTCAAAGGGACTGGATATGTCAAACC